TTTATTAATGTGTGATTAGGAAGTATTGAGGTAAGTAGATCGATGCACCTGCCAAATTCTTGTGGCTTAATTACAAATCAGTTTACTAGCAGAAGTAAAAGAAATGACTCGTGCCGACCTAAAATAATATCAAGAACACAGCCATGGTAATCCACTCTCTTTCACTCTCTCTACTTTGGATTCAAACCTAAGTTAAACCGCAACACATTTCACGTGTTTTATCTTCCTTATCAATGATACTAGACTAGATGTTAAGTACTTGCATCAAGCTTTAAGCGCGAGAAGTAAACTAATATGTTTCTCTCTTAATGAGAAGTAGAAAAGGAAATACTTAAATTGTAGCAAAAATAGAATCCTGACTCCTGTGAAGCTGATTACGCTTTAGCTCCCAAGAACATATCTAGCAATATAAAGACCAAAATCTTGCTCCTTTCTTCCAGTAGTCCCTCATTAAATAGCCGGACGCACTATTGCAACACTCCAAATAAGTAAGTTTTCTTTCTATCATTTGCTTCCACCGGGAAAATTACCAAAAAAGTCATAAACCTTTTGCAATTGTGCCAATTCAATCCTAAACCTTTTTTTTTTGCCAATTTAGTTCTAAACCTTTTGCAATTGTGCCAATTCAGTCCATCCGGCCACTTTTGGCCGGCCGGCGCTGACGTGGCAATTTTTAATAATTTTTTATTATTTTTTTCTCTTTCTTTTTTTTTTTCGCCTATCTTCTTCCCCAGTCGCCGGTTCGGTGACCGGCGAGAGGCTGAGGCCGGCGAGGGCCAGCCTCGCCGTCGCCGGGCGAGGTCGACCTTGCCATGGCCAGGGCGAGGTCGACCTCGCGCCGGCGGCGGCGAGGCCGCCGGATCCGGCGAGACCTCGCCGTCGCCATGGCCCGGCGAGCTCGACCTCGCTCGGCCATGGCGACGGCGAGGTCTCGCCAGGATCTGGGCGGCCTCGCCGTCGCCGGGTGACGCCGACCTCGCCATGACCGGGCGAGGCCTCGCCCGGCGACGGCGAGGTCGGCGTCACCCGGCGAGACCTCGCTGTCGTCGGGCCAGCCTTGCTGTCGCTGGGCGAGGTCTACCTCGCCATGGCCAGGGCGAGGTCAACCTCGCCCGGCGACGGTGAGGCCTCACAAGATCTGGGCGGCCTCGCCATCGCCGGGCGAGGTCGAGCCTCACCATGGCCGGGCGAGGTCGACCTCGCCAGGCGACGGTGAGGTCTCGCCCAGATCTGGCGAGGCCTCGCCGTCGTCGGGCGAGGGCCAGCCTTGCCCATGGCCGGCGAGGTGGACCTCGCCGGCCTCAGCCGGTCGCCGGTCGCTGGACCGGCGACCGGGGAAGAAGATAGGCGAAAAAAAAAAAAGAGAAAAAAATAAAAAAATAAGTAAAATTTGCCACGTCAGCAGGCCGGCGCCGCCGGCGTCCATGTCAGCGCCGGCCGGCCAAAAGTGGCCGGATGGACTGAATTGGCATAATTGCAAAAAGTTTAGGACTGAATTGACAAAAAAAAAAAAGATTTAGGATTGAATTGGCACAATTACAAAAGGTTTAGGACTTTTTTGATAATTTTTCCTGCTTCCACGCCTGTGTCGGGGAATGCTCTCGCCCAGAGTGAAGACTAAGGTAAGGATACTTTCGACGACGTCAATATCCATCATTGCTGAAAATTGTTATCTGCACATAACTAGATCCTCTTCCGTACTGTGCCATCTAAATTTAATGCTCGTCTGAATGATCAACTGTCTCCATCTAAACAGCCTGTTGCAGTTTGGAGATCTTCTCTTACAGTCTGGATGAGTTTCGCGTTTTTCGTACTCATATCTGGGTGCATATATTAGACCCTTGTCTGCAATAGGAGAAGATAACATAACTCTATGTGCAGAACTTTAATAGCGCATCACTAGGAATATGATTTGCAATCTTTCCTTTCTATTAATTCGAACAATTAGGATTGCTTTTGCAATTTAATGTCTTGTTATGCATTTTTTTGATAATCAGTTGAAGATATCCTAACTGTCAGTAACGATAAACCGTTAATAGAAATTATTTGCGTTACCCACAAGTGAATAGAGTGAGTGTAACGCTCGATAAGGACATTCCATATAGAAGAGTTCTTGAATTGCGGAAAACTGCTTGCATTAGATAGCACTCTATTGAGCAAGTATAATGCTCAATACCGATGTGCCAATTGTGGAAAATTGTTGTTTTAGATTAAATAAAAATAGTAAGACTAATGGTCAATAATAGTATGCAATTTTATATAGAACTTTTTGGAAACAATAATGACCGACAAGAAGTCAAAGTTAGCCTGAAAGAACGTATAAGTTATAACGGTCCTCAAGATCGATATGTCATTTAAATCAAAATTTTTGAATTGGAAGTCCAAGAATGTCTTCCATTTCAACAAATCGATATACCCAAGTCAAGAAGAAATTCGCTTCTAAAAACATGTTAAGTAGAAATTCGACGTAACTGTTCATAATAAAAGATGGTCAAGAATAAATTTGCAGCTAAACTGTTAAATCGAAATGTCAAATATGTATAATGCAATTTGATACTCAAGCAACTATGCAAAACTTGAGAGTTGTCTACGCATGGTTGGGTCTCCACTAGCAAGGAAAGCACATAGAACTACATCACTCACACCTTCAATTTGTTTATAGATTTACTTTATGGTTGATATGATGGACGAAACCAATTACAGTGCAGTAATTACATGCGATTTTGTAATTTTTGTTGGGACTTAGGGGGGGTTTGTTTTGCCGAAAATACTTTAAAATATATTTTGGTTAATTTTTTGTGTTTGGTACATGGAAAATCAATGACCCACTGAAAAACATTTTCCATCAAAAGAAATCACCACAGCATAAAGAGTGGAAAATGATTTCCCCGATCCAATGGGAGGAATCCAAATGAGGTGCTACTGCTGGGCAGAGAACTGGTGCTAGTTTAGAAGGCTCTCTCTCTCTCCGTAGCTTCACAGGAAACAATGTATTTCTCTAACTGTGCAACATAGGCCTCTTCAAAAATTGCAACCAATCTGAAAATTGTTTGAAACAACGGAAAACTACCCATTTTCAAGGAAATTGATTTCCGAAGAAAACGTTTTCCTGTGTCATGAATTTTTTTTCACAAAACAAATGCATCTTTAAGATGGGTCTCGCAGATTCTTAAGATATGATCGGCTTGATCTAGAAAACATATACAATCTCAATAACAGTTTTGGGAAGCCATGTCTCTCCCTCTCTCCCTTCCCGCATTCTTCCATCACTAAAATCTATCATCAAATTTGTTTAGCTTCTCTTATTAGAGAAATTGTTGTGTGTAGTTATCATTCAATTATCATGATAAACTCAGGTGCTTTGTTAATTCTTATTCAGATCACTCTCGTTCATGCTTATGTGAGTGCAGAAGACATTTCGTGCATTCACGCACGCTTGTTTAGTACTTTGGAGTGTGGCAAATATGCATCCAAACCTAAACTTGCCCATAAACCAAGTTCATTTTATTTCAAGAAAAAAAAAGCAATTAGAGGATGTTCTTTGATGCACAGCTATTCCAAACAAAAGAAACATTCTTCTCCATACATGCATCAAATTCATCATCTTTGGTTGCAAATGCTTAATACGTCACTAGATAATCACCTCTCTAAACTAGAAACTGACAGATAATGCCTTATAAAACCTTGACTGATAACTCTATAAAAATAGAGTTATTTTATCTACTCTAGGCAATAAATAATGCAATATTTGTTAGAATATATTTGGATTTCCTTTTATTTACTTAATTTTTCCTTGTTTATGCAGAATATTGAGATATGGAGAAAATAAGGAAAATATGGCAAAAAGAAGGAAAGGAATATGCGACCCAGAAAAGAGTTAGAAGGTGGATATCACATTGGGAATTTTGCAATTTATTCTCTAATTTTATACGAAAAAGAAGCAATTGCCTTGTGAGAGGAGTCTTGGATGTTATCATATAAATAGGATAACTTGGGGGAACATGGAGTTTTTTCTTTTAGATTGTTTTTGTTTTCAGTGTTCTGAGAGTTTTTCAAGTATTTTGAAGAGAAGATAAAAGTGGTGACAGAATTCTTGTTCTTTGATTCAAGATGTTTGGTTTAATTTCTATTGTCGTTTCTTCTTCTATTATGTTCTAATATTATTTGTTAGAGCTACGATATAGCCTAACCATGATGATATGAATTTCATGCTTTTTATGCTTTGCAAGTAATTTCATTCATGTGAGTTATATATTATTGTGCTTAATGCGTTTAGGTGATTGGCCACCACTTGAATGATCTGATATGTATGTTTGAGACTGAGAAGTAATAATATGTAATTGCTCCTTATAATATATAACCATGAATTAAATGTGGATAGAAATATACCATGTTATTTGTGTAGCTTTCGGTGATAAGGTGGTCCAAAAGATTCATTGTAAACCGGGAATATTCACAGATTTTAATGCGCTTATGTTTATTTAAATTCACATAGAAATATAGTGAATTGATAAACTGAGTAGGTTTGCTATACCTAGAGATAGGATAGTAAATAGACTAGGAAATTCCGCTATCACATGTTTGATATTGTTCTTGTATGCATAATGATCCGAAATTCATATCTAGTGGTTATGGTGAAATCGGATGCTCTAACATATTTTACCTGATTGATTATCTGCCTTTAGTTTATAAAATTTCGTTTTTAAAAATTGTCAATTTTTATTTGTTCTCAATTATATTTTGATCAGTTAGATAAATTTTAGAATTAGTCCATTTTTAATATTTAATTGATTTATTATCATCAATCTCTGTGGGATGATACTCTTCTCATCATTATATTACTTGTTCAACACGTTCGTTGACACGTGCAGAATTTTACGAACAAGTTTTTGGCGCCGTTGCCTAGGATTGTTTATTTAATACCAATTAATATTGATACCGGATAATTCTAAGTTTAATCTAGCTTTTATCTTATTTTTTTTCAGAGTATACATTGGTGCATGACACGTAGCCAACAAGGAAAACTTACTGAGTTTGATCCAGAAATCGAACGCACATTTAAAAGGCGACTAAGAGAACAGAGAAATCACATTAAAAAGATAGAGGGAGTTGATGATGGTAGAAATCAACGTAGACTCTTGAAAGATTATGCTACGCCAACAGTTGAGGGCACCATATCAAGTATCAGGAGACCTGCAATTCAAGCAAACAACTTTGAGATCAAGCCATCACTGATTCAGATGCTTCAACAATCAGTGCAATTTAGTGGGCTACCAAGCGATGATCCAAACGCTCACATCGATGCTTTTCATGAAATCTGTGACACAATTAAATATAATGAAGTTTCAGATGATGTTATTAGATTGAGATTATTTCCATTCTCTCTTAGAGACAAAGCTAAAGGTTGGTTCTCTTCTCTTCCTGTAGGATCGATCACTACATGGAATGATATGGCCCAAAAATTTCTTGGTAAGTTCTTTCCACCTGCAAAATCTGCAAAAATGCGCAACGATATTACTAATTTTATGCAGATGGATAATGAATCATTGTATGAAGCATGGGAAAGATTCAAGGAGTTTCTTAGGAGATGCCCACATCATGGATTACCCGTATGGATGCAAGTACAAACTTTTTATAATGGGTGTAGTACAAATCTCCGTTCTATGATTGATGCAGCTGCAGGGGGAACTCTGAATAATAAAACACCAGAAGAAGCCTACAACTTATTAGAGGAGATGGCATCCAATAGTTATCAGTGGCCTACTCAGAGGATACCAGTGCGAAAAGCTAGCGGAGTTCGTGAGGTGGATGCTTTCACGGCAATTGCTGCGCAAATTGAAGCACTCAACAAAAAGATAGATAATATGAGTGTTTCAGGCATGAAAATTCAGAATATGACATGCGATTTTTGTGATGGAGGACATGTTAGCACAGAATGTCAGGTAGGTAACACTTTTGCTCAATCTAATGAAAATGCTAACTTTGTTGGGAACTTTAACAGATCACAGAATAATCCCTACTCCAACACGTGCAATTCGGGATGGCGCAATTATCCAAATTTTTCATGGAATAATCAAAATGTGACGAGACTACCACCGGAATTCAAACAACCAGAAGAGATAAAGTCCAGTCTAGAAGATATAGTCACAAAACTTGCCAACACTACTCAGGACTTCATCAAGAGCACAGATGTGAGATTTCAGAACCAAGAGGCTTCAATCAGAAATCTGGAGATGCAAGTGGGGCAGTTAGCAAACATGATGTCTGGGAGACAACAGGGTTTTTTGCCTAGCAACACAAAGAAAAATCCAATTGAAAATGTAAAAGCTATAATCCTGAGAAGTGGTAAACAAGTGGGTGAAGAAGATACCAAACAAGAGATTTCTAGAGACAAAGAAGAAGAGGTCAAGAAACAACCAAAGGAGATAGGCAAGAGCAAACTTTTTCCAGATAATTTCAAGCCATACGTGCCGCTAGTTCCATTTCCTTAGCGACTCCAGCAGCACAAAATAGATAAGCAATTTTCTAAATTTCTTGATGTTTTTAAAAAATTGCACATTAATATTCCTTTTGCAGATGCTTTAGCACAAATGCCTAGCCATGCAAAATTTTTGAAGGAGATTTTGGCAAACAAAAGAAAGCTAGAGAATTACGAAACTGTAAAGTTGAATGAGGAATGTTCAGCCATCCTACAAAATAAATTACCTCCGAAGTTAAAAGATCTAGGGAGTTTTACAATTCCTTGCACTATTGGAGATTCTTACTTTGAAAAGGCATTGTGTGATTTAGGTGCAAGTATTAATTTGATGCCTTTCTCTGTTTTTAGGAAATTAGGATTGGGTGAAGTAAAAGCAACCACAGTGTCGCTTCAACTGGCTGATCAATCAATTAAATATCCGAGAGGTATTGTGGAAGATGTATTGGTAAAAGTTGACAAGTTTATTTTTCCTGCAGATTTCATAGTTCTTGACATGGAGGAAGATTTTGAGGTACCACTTATCTTAGGTCGTCCTTTTCTAGCAACAGGAAGAGCTCTTATTGATGTACAACATGGGAAGTTGATTCTTAGAGTTCAAGATGATCTTGTTTCTTTCAATGTTTTTAAAGCAATGAAATATCCCTCTGATGATAATTTTTGTTTTAGAGTTGAGACAGTTGACAAGTTGGTGAACAATGTTTTTCAAGAAAATATTTTTAAAGATCCACTTGAAGCATGTTTGGTTCAACCAAAAGACAGAAAAATTGAGAATGAGGAGATAATGGAGTACGCAAATTTTATGGAGGCAAATCCAACATATTCAAGGCATAAGGCAACAAAATTTGAGGAGTTGGGACAACACACAACGAAGCTTAAGCCATCAATTGAAGAGCCTCCTATTCTTGAACTCAAACCCTTACCTTCTCATTTGAAATATGCTTATTTAGATGGAATTTCTTCTTTACCAGTAATTATATCTTCTTTTTTGACAAATTTGATGGAGGAGAAACTGCTCAGAGTGTTGAGAGAACATAAAGGTGCAATTGGATGGAAAATAGCTGACATCAAGGGAATTAGTCCTTCAATTTGCATGCACAAAATTTTGATGGAGGAACAACATAAACCCACTATCCAACCTCAGAGGCGTTTGAACCCGAAAATGCAAGAAGTGGTGAAAGCTGAGGTAATTAAGTTACTTGATGCAGGGATCATCTATCCTATCTCTGATAGTTCCTAGGTAAGTCCTGTGCAAGTTGTGCCAAAGAATGGCGGTATGACTGTTCAGAAAAATGACAATAATGAATTGATTCCTACTAAGACAGTTACTGGATGGCGTGTGTGCATGGATTACAGAAAATTGAATGATGCCACTAGAAACGATCATTTTCCTTTACTATTTATTGATCATATGTTGGAAAGACTTGCATGACATGAGTTTTATTGCTTTCTTGATGGATATTCAGGGTAAATTAGATTCCTATTGCACCAGAAGATCAAGAAAAAACTACTTTCACTTGTCCCTATGGTACATTTGCTTTTAGAAGAATGCCCTTTGGTCTTTGTAATGCACCAGCTACTTTTCAGAGATGTATGATGGCTATTTTTTTTGATATGGTTGAAAAATATATTGAGATTTTTATGGATGATTTTTCCGTTTTTAGCTCATCATTTGACTCTTGTTTAAATAATTTAGCTTTGGTCTTACAAAGATGTGAGGAGACTAACTTTGTTTTAAATTGGGAGAAGTGTCATTTTATGGTATAGGAAAGAATAGTGCTCGGGCATAAGATTTCTAGAAATGGAATAGAAGTCGATCGAGCCAAAGTGGAGATTATTGCAAAATTGCCTCCACCAACATCTGTGAAACTTGTAGAGGATTTTTGGGGCATGCAGGATTCTACATGCGGTTTATAAAAGATTTTTCAAAAATTGCTAGACCCCTATCTAATCTTTTAGTAAAAGATGCACTATTTAATTTTACTGATGAATGCGTGCAGGCTTTTAACACTTTAAATGAGAAGTTAATATCAGCACCAATTATGGCAGCACCAGAATGGGATTTACCTTTTGAGCTAATGTGTGATGCTAGCGATTCTATAGTGGGAGCTGTTTTGGGACAGAGGAAGAATAGAATTTTTCAAATCATTTACTATGCCAGTCGAACCTTGGCAGGTGCACAATTGAATTATTCAACAACAGAAAAGGAACTTTTGGCAGTAGTTTTTGCTTTTGATAAATTTCGTTCTTATTTAATTGGCTCAAAAGTTATAGTTTATTGTGACCACTCTGCTCTTAAGTATCTGCTTGAAAAGAAAGAATTAAAACCACGTTTAATCAGGTGGATTCTACTGCTGCAAGAATTTGATTTGGAAATCAAAGATAAGAAGGGGACTGAAAATCTAGTTGCAGATCACTTGTCAAGAATTCCGAATTTAAAGGAAGAGGTAAGTCCAATTATGGAAGAGTTCCCTGATAAGAAAATTTTTTCCATCAAATCCACAAAAATTCCTTGGTACGCTGATTTTGTGAATTATTTGGTAAGTAATATTCTTCCTCCTGAATTGTCATATCAACAGAAGAAAAAGTTCTTTTCTGATGTTAAAAATTATTTTTGGGAAGAACCTTTTCTTTTTAAGGTATGTGCAGACCAGGTCATAAGGAGATGTGTTCCAGACGAAGAAAAGGTAAATATTCTGCATCATTGTCATGACAGAGAGGCAGGTGGTCATTTTGGTGCCACCAAAACTGCAGCTAAGGTTTTACAATCTGGATTTTATTGGCCCACACTTTTTAAAGATGCTTACTTCTTTGTAGCTTCATGTAACCGGTGTTAGAGAACTGGAAATATTTCTAGAAAAAATGAGATGTCTTTAAACAACATTATTGTGTGTGAATTATTTGATGTTTGGGGTATTGATTTCATGGGACCCTTTACATCTTCTTATGGTAATTTATACATTTTAGTGGCTGTGGAGTATGTGTCTAAGTGGGTAGAAGCTGTAGCATTGCCAAAAAATGATGCTAAGACTGTTGTCAAATTCTTGAAGAAAAATATTTTTACGCGATTTGGCATTCCTAGGGCAATCATAAGTGATAAGGGAACACACTTTTGCAACAAACAGTTTGAAGCATTTTTGAGTAAGTATGGAGTCAGACATAAGGTTGTAACACCTTATCATCCTTAGACTAGTGGTCAAGTAAAGGTTTCAAATAGGGAAATCAAGAGAATTTTAGAAAAAATAGTGAATGCCTCTAGGAAAGATTGGTCAATGAAACTTGATGATGCACTTTGGGCCTATAGGACAGCATTCAAAACCCCAATTGGGATGTCTCCTTTTAGGCTAGTGTTTGGGAAGGCTTGTCATCTACCGGTGGAATTAGAGCACAAAGCATATTGGGCATTGAAATTTCTGAATTTTGACATGCAGTCTGCAGGTGAAAGAAGATTGTTGCAACTAAATGAATTGGAGGAATTTCGCAATGAGGCCTATGAAAATGCTAAGATGTACAAGGAGCGTACCAAAAGATGGCATGATAAACACATATTCAGAAGAGAGTTCGAAATTGGCCAAAAAGTTTTACTTTATAACTCTCGTCTTAAACTTTTTCCAGGAAAGTTATGTTCTCGATGGTCTGGTCCTTATACAGTCACACAGGTATTTCCATACGGAGCAATTGGAGTTGCACATGACACCGAAGGCACATTTAAGGTAAACGGTCAACGTTTGAAGCCCTACTTCGAAGGTGGTTACAACAAGCAAAAGACCACTATTAAACTTCATCCTCCAGAATAGCGACATCTGAGATAGTTTGGCTGAAAACTATAAAGCAAGCGCTTCTTGGGAGGCAACCCAAGCATTTTTATTATGTTTCTTCATTAATTTTTACGTTCAATTTTTAAAAAAAAAAACATGATTAATAATTTTTATCTAGGTTAATTTTCTTTCTTGAAGGATCACCTTTTTGGAGTTTAGTCATCGAGACCATCCATGGACACATCCTACAGCAAGGGGAGTTTTCTTGTTCCTATTTTTCTTTTGTTTCTTTTGTTTTTCGCATTGAGGACAATGCTTCATTCAAGTTTGGGGGGAGACAAAATTTTTGCTCAAAATTTTTTTTGCTAAATCTAGAATTTTTTTTTGTTGCATTCCTTGTTGTGAATTTTTGCGATTCTTAGGAAAATTTAAATTTTGTTCAAACTTGCGAATGATATGTGAGTTAATTTTGATTCTGATGATGTCGATCCACTTTCTGAGCACTAGAAGTCTTTAATTTTTGAGTAGTGTGTACATCTAGACAACATTCATGTGAAGTATGTGCTTTTCTTAGATCTCACCCAAATCTTAGAATTTGTTTGATTTTCTCTTGAGGCGAAATCCTAGGCTACATCTAACTGAGAAAATGATTTAGGCAATTTTTGGATCGATTGAGCCTTTCAAGCCAACCATATTTATTTATTCATAGTCACCCCGTTGAGCCTTAATTATTATCCAATCTTTTATTGGCACCCACGTACTTTTTAGCTTACCTTTTGCCAAACTATATCATTGTCCCACGCCCCATGAACATGTTGATTTTTTTTAGGATAAAAGTTTATTTGAGCATAATAGCAATTTGGGAGGAAGGGTGGAGCATGGAAATAATTTGATTGCTATGGTTGTTTGGGGTGTATCTTCTTCAAAAAAAAAAAAAAGAAAAAGAAAAAAAAGAGAAAAAGAAAAAATTGCTTTTATGGTTCCCTATCCAACTTTCAATTGAGTGAGCCTTTTAGATACTCAATGGGTTGGGAATGTTCACGTTATATTAGGAGGGACTTAGGGAGGAACTCCACCATAAAGCAATGAAAAAAAAAGAGAAAAAAAAAAAAAAAGAGGAAGAATGATGATCCGTAGTGGCAGAAAGATTATTTTGAAGATGTGAAATTGGGGATAGTGGCATGTGCTCTAATTAGATCCTAGAAATCAATGTGTTCATGAGTGATTTGAGCTTAAATTTACCATTATCTCACCGTTA